ATATATAAAATTAGTAGTCTAAGTATATGTATTTCTGTTTTTCTAATAATTCAATAAAATGGAAATTATTAAATTTTCAAAGGAATAAAAATAACAAATAGTATAAAATAATATTTAACAAATATTTAAATCTTGACTTATGTTACGTATATATTACGTGTACAATAACTTTCCAAACAACACGAGTATTGTTTGTCGACTTATAGTCGAATTTTTTCCAGTCGGCATATAGTTGATTGTTAAAAGTCGACTTAAAGTCGACTGTTCCCAGTTGACATAGACTAGTCAACATTCTAAGTCGTAAGACGACATCGAAGATAGAATATCGATTCTTAGTCGGCTTTTTTTGAGACATTCGTCAAGTATTAGTTGACTATTGGTCAATATTCGGTCAACTTATAGTCTACTTTTAGTCAACTTCGTATTGTTTGGGTCACATGTATGTAGATAATTTCCTTTTTTGATTTAAATAGAGAAATTATACAGAAACATTTAATTTGAATAAAATTCACTTTTTTTTACTTTGCAATACTGCAGATATGGAGAAAATCAAGAAAAAAAATGTCACAAATAGATATATAGTAATAATTATAAACTAAAAATAATTGTCATTCTAATATATACTTGATGATTAACACATTATTTAATTTTATTTTTTCAGCATATATCTTCAATTTCTTCTTTTTGTCGAGTTTTTTTTGGCTAAATGTAACATGCTTCGATATTTGGTGGACATTTAGGTGAGTAATATGTTTCATATAATATTATACGCATGGTGAAAGTAATAAGGTGCTCGTAATTAATTTAATTTAATTAAACTAATTTAATTAATTTTAAATGCTTTTTAAATGAAACTTGATGTTTAAACTAACAGTTGCTATATGTGAGCACGCTCGTCATATGTATACAATGGCGGATTTCAATTACTGCGCAGAATGTGACGAAAATGTGTTCGAGAAATAAGCTTGGATGTATATCAATTGCCCACATCACTAATATGGCTAATTTAAAATAATATAATTTCATTAATGAAGCGATAAAAAATTATTAGAAACGGGGCATGTGAATGATGTGTAATGCGCAATTGAACTATGTGTAAGAGGATCGCTCCCAATGAGCACTTTTTCATCATGATTATACCCTGATGGAAAAATTTTACTGAAATTATTTCATGTTTTAGAACACTTTTCAGCAAAATTTCAGCGTTTTAAAAAAATTTTAATTTAATTTCAGCGATTTTTGCTAAAAAAATTCATTTTCAGTGAAATTTCAGCAAATTTTCAGCAATTTCGCTGAAATTCCAAAACATAGAATAATTTCAGCAAAATTTTTCATCAGGGTACGCAACCCAGTGAGAAATGACAATGGAATCGATGTCAAATTTGATGATTTCGATGTCGAATTTAATGATTTCAATATCGAATCAATATCAATTTGATGTCGATTGAATCGATTTCATTGTCATTTCTCATTGAGAAGTTGTATACTACATACAATAGTACCACCAGGGAATGGAAAGTTACTTTTTAAAGGAAACAAGTTATTCGTTATTGAGTAGAAAAAGTAACAAGTTACCATTACTGACCATACTAATTACCAATTTTTAAAAGCAACTTACAGTTACCGTTACTTTTTAAAAATCGATAACCAAATAGCGGATGGATGTCTAGGTCTTACTGAAAAAAATTATGTTACATAATTATGTTACATGATTTCATCATGTAATTAAAATATGTAAATCACGTAATGGACTGTACCAAATCAATCCGTGATCTTTTATTCACAAAAATTTATGAATATCATGTCCCATACAGCACAGAAAAATTGCAAAATGATTGCAGATATATCTCATATAATGTTGTAATATTGCAAGTAAATTGCGCAATGTATACATTTGCAACATTGTTGCAATATTATATCATAAAAATGTCCATCTTCAGCAAGATTGCGCAGTAATCTCGTAGCAATATTGCAGCGCAATGTATTTGCAACTATTATTACAAATAATTCTTTTATTATTATTGAATATAATTTGAAATATAATTTGTGATATAAATAAAAAAAATAAGAAAAAGAATATATATATTTTATATTATAATTATTATTATAATTATTATAATTATTATTATAATTATTATTATATTTTATACTCAATTGCAAATTTTATATGCAGATATAGTGAGAGATGGGCATGAAAGAGATATGTTTTGAAAGAGCCATTTCGTATTTCAATTAATTGAATATCGTCAAAAATTTTAAAAGATTTTCATTTGATAACAGTACTAAATCTACGTTATCCAATAATAAACTTTTGATAGTCATCGTCAAAACATTGCCGAAATAAGAGATGCAAAATTACAAGTATAAAAAGTATGTTTCTTCAGTTAAATTTCCAAGTCTTTTTCATTTATTTGTGATTAGCTTTTAGAAAAAGTTATTTTTTTTATTGAATACTACATACATTAACGTAATTAAAAACGTAATTACAAATTCTTTATTTATTTTGGTTTATCAGATAATCTGTGATTAGTTTTCGTATAATGTTATGAAAGAGCCGGTATTGAAAGCTATGAAAAAGTCAGTTCTATTATTGCTTTGCCTGGTTCTTTCATTTTCGCGTATCCAGGGATGTTTTTTTCAGTACAATTGACTTTCTACTTTTTTTAGTACAATTCAAGTAATTTTAGTATGTCAGTACTTTTTTGAAATATATCGTACTGATAATCAGTTCATTTTCATTCGCTCAATCAATACATTGTCGCGTGAGCGTCAATATATGATTCTGTCAGAAGATCTTCTATACAAGATTGTCTTCAGATGCAGTCTTCTTCTTTGAGAAGCATTTCTGTACATATTTATTGTAAGTGAATAGATTTTCGTGTATTTCTGTTCTTTTATAAAACAGCATTCTAGGTTGCTGATAGATTAAATTATATTGAAGCATTTTATCGACATAATTTTCATATTTCACTCTTTTCAATCATCTATCATGTTTAATAGATTATTCTGAAGTAATGAAGACAGGTATTGGTGCAAATTGTATTCTGACTGGACTCATACTTAATGTGGCAATAAGGAAAATTTTCATTCTATTTGCAATAAATGTTTTTAATTAGAAATATTATATTTTCCACACATTTATTAATTTTCTAAAAGTAATATTTGTTAAAGGATAATATTTTGATTTTATTTGCATTAAAACTTATATAATTTAATATTTGGCTCTTTCAAAATGAGTAATGGCTTTTTCAAAATTACATTGTTTTGAAAAAGCTGAATTTCTTGTGATGAAAAATGGTGATTAAATCTCTGTTAATGACTAAATATTATTTTTCTGTTAAATAGATCTTATATACAATAAATGAGTACACTTAAGTAAGAAAGCGATTATATTTACTTAATACCAGATTATATTTTTTTTCATATTTAAAAAAAAAGGTTCTTTATGTCCTCTTCCCCTATATATTTTTGTACGCAGGTATATATATATATATTTTTTTTTTTTAAATTTTACATATGTAGATAAATTTTACATATGTAAATTTTACATATATTTTACACTTTTTCGCAAATATGTATTTACACTTTATGCACTTTACGCCTATATTATGCACATATTCTCAATTAATGAAGTGGAAGTAATGAGAAACTCCACGCATTCTATTTCACTTTCTTTATCGTTCAAAGAATTTTTTAAATTCATATATTCAAAAAAATTATGAGAATTGATTATAAAGTTCGAAAAATCTTTCGTGCGGCAACAAATATTTCAACGAATACTATAGATCTGTTTTTATTGTTGCACTTTCATTGTTGCACTGAACACACAATGTAATAAGTTGAAATGAAATAAAAATATGTTTGTTTCACTTCAATTTCCCATATAGCATCGAAAGTTTTCAGATATATCTTAGAAATATTTCAACTGAAATGTGAAATATTTCATAAAAATTGCGAAATATATCTGTAACATTTTTGAGACAGCTCTGGTATAGTAAAATGTCTGCGATTCTTGCATAAAACCTTAGTGAAAGATTGAAGAAATATTACGAAAAGAATCTTCAATCTTTTTGAAATATTACCAAAAAGCTATCAGCTATTTTCTAGTAAAAATGATATTTAAATATACATATATACTTAATTTAAATAATATTTAAATTTATTATGATATAATTTAAATATTATTTAAATATCAATTAAGCACAGAATGAAAAGATTCCAGGATGACCAAATAACTCTTCAGAAAAGTTATCGAAAAAAACATTAAAGGTAAAAGTTGTAAAGTTTGTGGCGACTCGCCACAAACCAGAGGTCCAACGAGACTCAGTCCGATTTGCGCAGCCGCGCGAATTTCCTTTAAATAAAACGTCAATCTAAAATTCATTTCAGGCGTCTAAGACAGGGCTCACACTACATCGTCTTATTGATGAATCTAGTGTGGGACGAAACGCTGCAAAAGCTTCGAGTCAGGCCTCCTTAGTGGACATGATTATCATTTTCATAAAAATCAGATCTACAGGTTCAAAAAGATCTTATCAATTGGGTGATGTCGTCAAGGTTACATAGATTTTAAAAAATGGAATATTCTATTTTTGATGCCAGAATCATAGCTGATGTCAAGAGCTTTTCACTGATAAAGTTATTTTTCATTAAGTATTTTTCGAGTTCAGGCTTGAAAATTACATTAACATTACACAAGACATCTGACTGATGACTAAAATCTTTTGATCAGAATCTATTGTTCAGGATCATATCCTGGATAACATATATTAAGATCAAGGCCAATGGATTTATGATTTATAAAAATAAATTTTCAGTGCAAGAATGAAAATAAGAAGAATAATTTCCAATGGCCTTGACAAATATTATCCAGAACATGATCTTGAATAATATTTAAGAGGTTTTAGCCGTCAGATACCTTGTGTGTAATGCTAATGCCGATAGTACTGTAACTTTCAAATCTTATGCGAGTTTTACAATAAGTTGTAGCAATCGTAGAGTCTTAAATCGTAGAAAATTAACACAATGACCAATTCACACATTAACCAATCACAGTCGAATATGAAAAGAATAATCGCCTATGATTAGTCAATTTTCTACGACTTAGGAATCTACGATCGCTACGACTTCTATTGTAGACCCTGTATTATAATTCGAAAAGTATTTAATGAAAAATAACTTTATTATAATGTTTTGAAAAGCTTTTGACACCAGCTATTATATTCTGCTATCAAAAATAAGATGTTCTATTAAAATAAATCAATATGACCTTGACATGACCTTGGCGACGGTACTCAAGATCAAACTGATAAGATCAGTAAATAGATCTTGTTGACCCCTACAATTTTTGTTTTTAACGTTTTTCTCGATAACGTTTTCTGAGAAGTTATTTGATCATCCTGGAACTTTTTGGACACTCTGTATATTATTTCTGAAATACTTAAAATTTATTAAGAATTTTGTGTTTACAGATTTCAAAACTTATTGAAACAAATTTAAAATATTTCTCAGAAGTTAATGATTATGTCGCCAACTATTTTGATTAATTAATCACATTATATTCATAAAAGTACACACACACACACACACACACACACATATATATATAT